GAACGAACATGATTTTGTGACTTATGGTTTTGATGACTGAAAACAATAGGATATAGAAAGAAATTATGATGGACAGGTTTGATTAGAATTGTATGTATAACTGCCAAGAGGAAGATCAGAAGCGACTTCTTTATGTATATATTTTTTTCATGTTTTCTGTTTTTATTTTTTTATTTTTTCTGTTTTTTCACATTTTATTTATTTTCTTTCTCTGAACTATTGAAAAAACAATAAGCATGAAAAGAACATTTTGATGACTTAACATCATTGTAAGAGCTTAAGATGCAGATCTAACATTTTTTAAACCACAAGATCATTGATTTATTAAGATATTCCCATTCTTTATTCCAATGCTCTTGCAAATTGGTAACAACTGTTTATAAAAAAAGCTGTTTATAAAAAACAATCTGCAGGTTTAGAATCTTAAAAACATTTTCCAGTAACACAATAATTTGGGGGTTTCCAAAGTTGTTAACACATCAGCTCCAAATTGTGAAAAGGTATTTTGGTTGAGTATATGGCTGTTCGGCAGTTTTAAGCACCCATGAAAGAACTAGTAACAATAACTGAGTTTAAGGTATCAAAACCCTTTTCCATGAAGGTTCTCCAAAAAACAGAAAATTACCTGCAATCTTCAAACTGGAGTTATTCCAAACCATCAATTTTTCATGTGAATAGGAAACAAGTTTAAACTTTCCTCCCAAATCTTCCAAATGTGTCTAGCAGCTATTAATGGTGGGAAAACAACTGAATCTCAGCTAAAGGGGGTGGGGGCAGATAAGCTTTTAAAACATAGGCCAGGTCCAAAATGAAACAGGTATCGAACTGCAGGCCCGATGCAAATCCGGGACATAAAAACCCGGAAGAAGATTGTGGCTAACTAACTAAACCCAACACGAATCCAGGCTTCAGTGCTAGAGGCCCGGGGGACTTGCTCTTGAGGCGCACAGAGTGCCATTTATGGGGAAAGCTGTTACTGGCCAGCATTTGCTTCACCACCAAACGAAACCGGTTTAAGAGACGTTTGTCTCCAGCCTGCCTCCGACCAGATGTCTCAGCCTGCTTCAAGGGGCTGCCAAGGGCCGGCTTTGCTGGCGGCACAGCCGGCGGGCGGGCGGGCGAGCTCCCCTCCTTCTGGGCTTCCACTGAA